GAAACTTTGATAGAAAACTGGCATTAATGTTTACGTTTTCCTAAGGAGGTCGCCTTTATCATTTATTATATATTCTTCATATATGACATTTTATTTTATAAAAAATTTTCTTCAAACCAAGTTGATAAGCTGCACATTTCTACAAAATACCATTATATTACAATTACCAATATTGTTTTCTGATTCTGTTTACTATTTGATCTATTTAATCACATTGTTCCTATATATCTGATCTTTGCATTGATTGAAAAAAATGAATATGAGGCTTTCTATAAAGAGTAATTCAATTTACTAACCTCTGGAATAGTGGACTGATTTACAAATAAGAGAACTCCGGAAACATAGAAACAGAATATGGCGGCAGATAAGAACCATCCTGCCCATTTAGTCTGCCCAATTTTCTAGTCTGGCCTTATATTCAGTCTAGGATAGCCTTATGCCAATCCCATGCATGCTAAAACTCCTTCACTGTGTTAACCTCTACCACTTCAGCTGGAAGGCTAGTCCATGCACCCACTACCCTCTCAGTAAAGTAATACTTCCTGATATTATTTTTAAACCTTTGACCCTCTAATTTAAGACTATGTCCTCTTGTTGTGGTAGTTTTTCGTCTTTTAAACATAGTCTCCTCCTTTACTGGGTTGATTCCCTTTATGTATTTAAACGTTTTTAATATCCCGCCTGTCTTATCTTACCTCCAAGCTATACATCTTAAGATCCTTGAAGATATTGTAAAGAAATTTAAACATTTTAGCTTCTAAAACCAACTTGTTGAATGTTAATTACATTTCATATAACAGCAGATTTTGAAGACAGCTCTATTAAAGTTCACACCATATTTTACTTAACCTGGTTTTACATCACCAGGATTAAGCACCATAGACAGCAGGCTTAGATATTCCTTGGGACCTGACCGGTGATGACTTATTAATTTATTTTTGAAATGCAAGTCTATTCTGCAGTGATGTACTACATGCTACCAGACTTTCTGGGTAATTCAACATGAAACAAGTTAGGAAGTCATAAATGAAATCGGTCAGAGGTCCTTCTCCCAAGAGCTTACAATCTAAAGGAGACTGGATATAATTTCCCTAAAGTGAGGCGAAGAATTCATTTCAGATGTAAATCCACATCTTACTGTCTACGTTGCGTATATACATTATACGATAAGCAGTGCCTGCAGACCATGTAGGTGTAGTAGGGTTTAAGGCAGACAGAGGCATGTCTCTTTGTATGATCGATAGCTGTAGGGATATGAATTTGGTTTTCTAAAAATGTTAGTTTTAGCGATTTATTCTAAGGCACTGGATATTAGTGAAAATAAGATGGGGTGAGCAAAGCTTTTTCATTTTAATGTCGCAAGTAACGCTAGTGAAATCCTGATTAATCACAAGCTACAGGTGGGATATGAAATGACCACATGGAATTGTTGTTTGCAGACCGGAGAAGCTATTTGGTTTCTAGGTAAAAAGCAGGAATTTGCATTACATGCAAGAGTCTGTGGGAAGGGTGAGGTGAGGGGAGCTTCCACTAAATAAAGATACGTCTGGCATCGTTCATTTCAGTTTATGAAGGAGCCAGAGATGTTATTTAGGAACATGCTGAACACATGCATGTCAACTGCAGATTATTTGGAAAATACATCCTTGTAAATATTTGTCAGGTAGACAAAGAAGGAGGGATTAAGTGGACAACAAAGACAAACTAAGACACATACAGATAGAAATTGAGGATAACAGCCAGACACATGGACAGACAGACGTGGAACTATTGGCTAATAAAGTGTGTATAAATGATTGAATGTGCATATAAAATGTATACATGCAGAATGTAGGTGGGAGAAAGTGAGGTCTACCCTTGCTCCTGCACATTCTGCAACGCTGTTGATTACTACAGCAATTATCACAACATACATGATAAGGTTCTCTGCTACTAGGCAGACTAGCCAAGAATTCGAAAACCCTTATCTACTGAATCACTTTAAAACTTCATCACATTCACGGAGATCAGCTTTTTCAGAAACTAGAGGGTTCAATTAGGCAGTAAATCATTTGATAAATGTGTGAATGTTATTTTTGGGAGAGGACTCTATTTGCCACGTGCAAGGATGAGTTACACAGACAACAGGTATCTTTGTAACATGTTTCTTGTTGTGTAACTGCAGAGAGAGTTAATCTCTGTATAAGGGGGCTCGTGCCTCTATAGACATTTTCAGTAGGTTGGTAACTTACCTGCACCAAGCAATACCGATGGGTTCTCTGTCATTGCTTTCAGTGGGGCTTTATATCCTTAATGGATGGTAGTTGGTGCCAGGAGAACAGCGTAACAGACATCTGCAGAGCAGGCTTCATGCAGAAACAGACATGCTACACCTATAACTATTTAATATTTAATGTACTGAAAGGAGGAGAAGTGCATAGGGACTGTGCCGAGATTCAATGGAGTGCAACCTCTCGTCTGTTAAGGAGGAATATAAGAACTGTTTATCTGGCTCTGTTTGCCCTTCTCTTCGACCCCATATGGCCTTCAACATCTTTTAAAATTGAGTCTTATATGACACGGGCAGTGGATTGGGGACATCATCCACTTTCACCGAGTCTGAAAACTATTTCTTCAAGGTGCAATTGTATGCACCGATAGTTAAAGAAATATTAACATTTCAGAATGTAAACACAGATTTGCTAAAGTCTTTATTTTTGGCTAGAGCAAGATTTTTCATTGTGTTTACTTCTCTTTCTTTATTTTAACTTTATCTTCTCGCCTTTTTTGTATGTGCAGGGAATCACTACAGCTAAAAGACTTCGCATCTGACTGGCTCGTTTGATGTTGTAGGGTTGGCTTAGCAAATATAAACGGTCAGAACACCCATTCATTTTGAAAGCAGTTTTACCCAAGATAACGTAGATCCCTGTATGGAAACCGTTTTTTACAACAAAAAAAAATATACATATATATTTTTTTTATGTAATATTTTTGTTACTATGCACTTTCCAAGGTTCCTTTACATAATTTTATATTTTTGTAGAATTTTGTTATTTTGGAGATTGTTTCATACAGGTTTCAATGCTGTTGGAGACCCGAAAAGCATTGACACGGGGAAGGGTCCTTACAAAGCCCATTTCTGGTTGAGGTCTTTCCAAATCATTTAAATTCATTAGACCATTCTTATGCATGCCATAATTGATACTTTACTCACCGTTGTTGTTATTTTTTATTTTTTTTATTGTTTTTGTATTTTGGACATTTTTTATTTTTACTTCTTCATGGTGCGTCCACGAAGAGGAGATCTTGCTGACCAACGCTGAGTATTGTTAAACTAGATTGTTATAATAAAAATCATATTTCAGAGAATGGCTCCATCTTGTGACTGTATATAAAAGGGACCCTTTATTTTACCAATATGTTTTTAGAATTCATTTTTATTTTTCTATATAGTTTCTAAACATAGTCTGCTGAGTGTTGGAAGTAATGAATGACTTATTCATGTAACATATTCAAAATATGTTTCAAAGCTATAGTGTTCCTATATCTTATAGGACCAAACTCTACTCTGTCTACCAAAGGAAAGCAGATTTTGTGGGAGGTAAATATATATTCGGCCTCAGTCAATAACCCTAAATTAGAGGCTTATTTCCAAGCAATGAACAGAATTAGACCGAGGTCAAAAGATTCCATTAGCCACTGGTGAGTGGAGACTCAGCCCTGGCAAGTGTACCACTGCTTCCTGTTGAGGAACCTCAGTGCTGTCTGAAGTTTCCATCGTATTATAGCAATGGCTGATGTCTGTGCCCATCAAGAATGGTTTTAATAAAAAAAAAAAAAAAAAAAGTAAGTACTGTCAGTTTAAAGCGGCACTGTCCCTCACCGCAAATTTAGTGTTTCATAAAGATAAAATCTCTATGAAATACTTAAATTGACTGTATTGATATTTCACTGAAATTCCAACCCTTTCAAAAAATATACTGAGACAAAGTAGGGACTCAGGAATTTTCATACACCTGACACTTCTTGACACTGGGTGGATCTACCGCCACCGAGAAGTGTTAATCCCTCCCGTCACCAGCGTTGGCTACAGGGAATTATCGCAACCTATGGAGGATTCTGCGGTCTCTTCCATAAACCTCAATGCATATGCAAAAGTACAGAAATTCCGTCAGCTCCTGAATAGGACCGGTTGGCAGAGGATGTTGGTGCTCGTGAGCAACAAGTTCAGGTAAGTTAAACTTACCTCTACCTGCCCCCACAGCCACCAGACCCCCAGCAGCAATTCACAATTGGGGGTCTTTGCAAATAATGCAAAATCCCCAGACAGTGACAGTTCCACTTTAAATAAAATTTCAAACACCATAACCACAACGTGCACTTTAGTGGTTAATATGCCAGGAGTATTAGTCCAGACACTACAGCTGATAGAGAGACAGATGCTTAGAATCTTTCTTTGGCTATTTTAAGTTCCTACTTAGGAACTTCCTTTAGCTATTCTGAGATAAGCCATGCTATGAGGGTCTAGCTCAATTGGCTAATTAGTTTCTTATTTAGTGCATCGTCTATGTAGTGATGGTAATTCTAGGATGACATTTCATTTCAATCTTTCCATTTTGTATTTTAAAATTACATAATCAACACCTAGAGCTACGGGTATACAAATACCAGAGCTTCAGCTGTTGGCAAACTACATATCCCATTGGTCTGCCATTCTTTTGGTTGGCAAAGTTCCATGGGAGTTGTAGTTACTAACAACTGGATGTTTTATGTATAAATGCTCCTGAGCTCGACACTATTTGCTCAGTAGATTATTTGTTTTTAGCATGTGACCCCTTTCCAAATGGCTCACAGGAACACACATTAAAAAAAAAAGTACTTTGAAGGCAGGAGTATGGGACCAGTGCTAATGCACGTTCTTCTTGTAAAACAACAGACACATATTTAGATTATTCGTTATAAGACACTGTACTCATTTATCTAAATCATTTCATTTCATTCTCATATTTAACAATTAACTTTATTATTATTAAAAGCAAGGAATACAAAGGCAGTCTGTATATAGCTTATTATCAGGCAGCCAAATTAAACATTATTTCAGTGTGGTCCAAACAGCAGCTGCAGGCCATCCTGGAGAGAATATTATACCATATAACCTCTGTAACTTCCTAAAGTAAATCAAAAGCTCTCGTGATCAAGTCTAATGTACATATAGCTCAATATTTAATGCTCGTTTTACAGCTACAAGGCGAATTGGCACATTCTGGAATATATTATAGGTAATGATAAAAAAAAAAAAATATATATATATTCTTTAGTAAACCTTTACTGTCAAATGGGAATTCGGTGCACTCCAATGCAGACTTCCTCGGCCTGGGAATATATCAGAATTCTCTTTTCTTTAAAGCGTGCTTGTTGGACTAAAGCTCTCATCATCCTTGGCTAGGATAATGGAGGCTATTATTAAGGACAGCTACAAATTGATCATACCAGATTTCTGATCTTATTAAATTTTGCCCTCTGGAATGCCAAATGCAGAAGCACTGTTCAAGTTGGAGTTAAAGCTCCCTCTCTCTAAATGCCAAATCTGTGTTTGGCAGGGTGCAGGTTCTGGCGGCAAGCATAGTCTGGATATCAGTGCCCTTGGAGGCATCTTGTTTGGTCCTTTGGGTAAGGTTATCCTTTGAACGACAGTGCAAGTGCTTAATATGGGGACAGAGAGTTAGAGGTAGAAAGAGAATGTTCTGGGGCTTGTGGTCTCTCTCACAAGATCTCTGGTTCGGAGATAAACAGCTCTTTGTAGAGAGGAGGGAATCTCTCACATGCAATTCCTGGGTACATCTGTCGGAAGATGTTCAGTTTCTCCATGTGCAACTGACATATGCTCAGGAGACGTCCTTTCTGTGGGAGCTGGAAAAAGCAATAAAATGTGTTAAAACGTTAAAATCATAATACATGCCTTTTGAAATGTATATTGTTTGGAGTATTTATGTGAAAAATCTCACAATTTTTTTTTACTTGAGATGTTATCACATGTGCAACATTCTTTACGGGTTTTCACATTGATATAAGATCCGAGGCTTGCATAGCTTCCTATGCAACCAAGTCAATGACCTTTTAGAAGTCTCCTATCCCATATAAAGTGGTTTTATAAGCCTCAGCTTTGTTTGATGTTGTCTCGGTGTCTGGAATGGTGTGTGCTGATTTTTGATGTAAGAAGAGACCCATATGGTCTGATGAGTGACATGTTGAGAATCTGACCTTGGTGAGGATTGACTCTCGGAGGCTTGTACGAAGCAGATATCTGAAGGCATGATCCAGCTTTTTATGGAGAATCTCTACTTTCTGTTTGTCTTGCAGCCAGGGACGGCCTATGGACAGACAGACAATGTGTGAAATTAGTATAACGATACAGTAATGATAAGATAGACACTGTCACTTTATTAAAGGACCACTATAGTGCCCTGAGGGTGCCCCCACCCTCAGGGCCCCCCTCCCGTCGGGCTCTAGGGTGTAGAAGGGGTTAAATTTACCTCTTTTTCCAGCGCCGGGCGGGGGACTCTCCTCCTCCTTCTCGTCGTCATTCTCAAAGCTTTTCTATGAACGCTGGCGTCTTCTCACTGTGAAAATCACAGTGAGAAGCACGGAAGCGCGGATTAACCCATTTATAAACATAGCAGTTTCTCTGAACCTGGCACCCAGACCACTTCATTAAGCTGAAGTGGTCTGGGTGCCTATAGTGGTCCTTTAATTATCAGAGATCGTAATTACATGTCCATCCTACATGGTATAAGGTGCAAAAGGGACATATTTTGACTATCATCATGTACAGGAAAAAGAAAAGACAGAATGGTAGCAGACAAGAGGGGAAATATCACAAACCTTAACGTTTCCTAGATACAATGACATTGGCACAATAGTGTCCTACTAAATGCTATATCCCCAAACCTGTCCTGGTGCCCCCCCTTACTTGGATCAAGAAGAATCATTGAGCTGATAAATGCCATTTCATGTTCCGACAGATTGAGGGCACACAGGGAGTGGCAAAGATCAAACATTGAGCCAATCAAATCACTGCACCCTGCAGGGGGGAGAGAGGGTTTAGGCAATTAAAACATGATGATGTCATTAGAGTAAAGTATTGACTTAACTAAAAAAAATATATATTAAAGGAACACTATAGTCACCTAAATTACTTTAGCTAAATAAAGCAGTTTTAGTGTATAGATCATTCCCCTGCAATTTCACTGCTCAATTCACTGTCATTTAGGAGTTAAATCACTTTTTCTGTTTCTGTTTATGCAGCCCTAGCCACACCTCCCCTGGCTATGATTGACAGAGCCTGCATGAAAAACTGGTTTCACTTTCAAACAGATGTAATTTACCTTAAATAATTGTATCTCAATCTCTAAATTGAACTTTAATCACATACAGGAGGCTCTTGCAGGGTCTAGCAAGCTATTAACATAGCAGGGGATAAGAAAATCTTAATTAAACAGAACTTGCAATAAAGAAAGCCTAAATAGGGCTCTCTTTACAGGAAGTGTTTATGGAAGGCTGTGCAAGTCACATGCAGGGAGGTGTGACTAGGGTTCATAAACAAAGGGATTTAACTCCTAAATGGCAGAGGATTGAGCAGTGAGGCTGCAGGGGCATGTTCTATACAGCAAAACTGCTTCATTAAGCTAAAGTTGTTCAGGTGACTATAGTGTCCCTTTAATCCTTATCTGAAATGCATATGGTTAATTCCTTTCCCCATTTCTTCACAGCTGGGGGAGTGTCTGAACTAAATTTCAGTCTCATTAACTCCATTGCTGTAGAATATACAGCTTTTAAAGTTTTGCAACTGAAAATTGTTCTCATTATCTTCCCTTCTTCCTTATCTAAAACTAGTAAATGTTCTTTCAAGAGGTGTTTGACACGCAAATAAATGAATATTTCTTGGTTAGGAATAGCAACTTGTTGAACCAAATTACTAAACGGCATTAAAGGGACACTAAAGGCACCCAGACCACTTCAGCACATTGAAGTGGTCTGGGTGCAGTGTCCCTATTGCACTTAGTTCTGCAATGTTAATATTGCAGTTCCAAAGTCACTGCAATGTTTACATTGCAGGACTAAGTCTGCCTCTAGTGGGGGTGCTTCCTAGATCCAAATGGACCAGTATCTGACACTGCATGAGGATCTCCAGCGTAAGATTTTCCCCCCATAGGAAAGCATTTATTCAATGCTTTTCTATGGGGAGGTCTAATGCGAGTGCGGCACTGGCCGCGTATGCGCATTAGTGCCTGCTCGCCGCGGGATGACAGAGGGGGCAGAGCGTCAACCCAGCGCTGAGGGACAAGGCAAATAAATAAAGGGTTTTTAACCATTTATTGACCGAGGTGAGGGAGGGGGGGAGGCAGGGGTAGCCATAGTGCCAGGAATACAGCTTTGTATTCCTGGCACTATAGTATCCTTTTAAACTAGAATTATCATATAGGTCTTTTATAGAATGACCATTTTGTTTATTCCAGTTTTGAAGGTTAAGAGCAGGCATAATCAGTTCCAATATTTTGATACTTAAAGCGGCACTGTCATGCCAAACTTACCTTTCCTCAATCTCTTCCTCTTCTCCCCCTCTCTCAGGATCTGTTCTTCTTTTCTTCCTGTCTTCTTTAGTTTTCTTTAAAATCATAAGACAAAGTAGGGACTCTTTGCCTTATGGAGGATTCCTCCGCTTGACCAGCTCTGACCAGCGGAGGAGCAAAGTGTGCTTCATTTCCGCTGGTCAGAGCAATTTTCCCATGATCCTTACCTTTCCTCTGTGTTCCCGCGATGCTTCCTGTCATTTTACACAAAACTGCCGAATTGCGTTCTAACTGAATGAGAACAGTATGCTCGTTTGTTTTAGAACGCAATTCGGCACTTTATTTGGATCGCAATTTCATTCGGTTTAGGCAATTAAAACATGATGATGTCATTAGAGTAAAGTATTGACTTAACTAAAAAAAATATATATTAAAGGAACACTATAGTCACCTAAATTACTTTAGCTAAATAAAGCAGTTTTAGTGTATAGATCATTCCCCTGCAATTTCACTGCTCAATTCACTGTCATTTAGGAGTTAAATCACTTTTTCTGTTTCTGTTTATGCAGCCCTAGCCACACCTCCCCTGGCTATGATTGACAGAGCCTGCATGAAAAACTGGTTTCACTTTCAAACAGATGTAATTTAGATGTAATCCAATCAGAGTGCTCTGTGTCATTTTACACAGCGTGGGAAAATTCAAAAGAACTTTCCCACGATGTGTAAAATGACACAGAGCACTCTGATTGGATGGCTTGAAATCCATCCAATCACAGTGCTCTGTGTCATTTTACACAGCGTGGGAAAATTCAAAAGAACTTTCCCACTCTGTGTAAAATGACACAGAGCACTGTGATTGGATGGATTTCAAGCCATCCAATCACAGTGCTCTGTGTCATTTTACACAGCGTGGGAAAATTCAGAAGAACTTTCCCACGCTGTGTAAAATGACACATAGCACTGTGATTGGATGGCATTTGAGAAAAAAGAAGACGTCGAATGGTAAGTTTAATTTTATTTTACAGGTTAGTTATTTTATTCCCCCCTCACTATTTTTTAGGGTGAGGTGGGTAGGTAGGGACTTTTTATTTGGGTGGGGGGGTGGGTGGCTAGGAGCTTGGGGGGGGAGGGAGGACAGTAGGTCCCCCCCTCATTATCTTTATGGCCCCCACCCGCCGCCCAGGGGTGGGGGCCGGAGGGGGGGTGGACAGTAGGTCCCCCCCCCTCGTTATTATTATGGCCCCCACCCGCCGCCCAGGGGTGGGGGCCAATAGTTTATTTATTTATTTTTTTACAGTGAGGAGCCACAGGCTGCTCACTGTTTAGTGGACATGCCCCTACTCGCGGTATAGCGAGTAGGGGCATTAGGAAGATTTTAATCTCCCTTGTGCTATTATGGAGGTCATATTGACCCCCATAGAGTGAGGGGGGACCTGGGGGGCTTATGAAGTGGTGGGGAGCACTGCTCCCTGCCACTTCGATAGTTACATATTACAAGGAGGGAGCTGAGTGCCGGTAGCTCCCTCCTTGTAATAAACTGCACGAACAAACAAACACTGATACATAGTGTTTGTTTGTTCGGCTGATCTTTCTATTCATTCATTCGTCTGTCTGATGAATGAATGAATAGACGAAATTCCCGTTCGCATGTCCAGGTGTTTCACTGGGCATGTGCGGAAATCTCACAGTGCTATCTAGTGTGGGCTGATGACGTGTCCCACAGGGACTTCATCTACCCATACAAAGATGGCGGCGGCCTGAATAAAGATCGTTAGTTAGATGTAGTGGAGGCCGGAGGGGGGTTAAAAAAAAAACCAGGATTCGGCATGACAGTGCCGCTTTAAGAATTTAAAATGAAATGTATGATGGCTTAAGTCCTTCTTAATAGATTGCCATTCTTTAAAGTTTGGTATAGGACTAAGGAACTATCAGGGATGGGATATTTGGGATCCCAAGTATAACTCCAGATCAAGAAATCAACTCCATCTTTTTCACAATGCTTGATACCATGTTTCTTCTTTGTAGTTTATAGATATGGACTGCTGTATTGGCCAATTTATTTTAAAACTAGGGTTGCTCATTAATGAAGATGGGAGCACTTAGGGACATAGAAATAAATGTTTGTTGTATATTTATATGTATTTCTTAATTGTATGCCTGAGTCTGAATGTCTGTGTATGTCAGTGTCTGTGTGACTGTGTCTATAGGTCTTTGTATGACTGTAGAATATTGCATATTCTATGTTTCTATTGATTATATATATGGATGTGTGGATTGACATAAGTAACAGATGGTATGAGTCACAAGGCTTTCTTTGTCCGAGAGCTCTGGAATGTGGATTTGGGGTTTTTGTCCTTATATGGCTAGAGTTAAACGCTGACGTTAGTATGAGCACATCTATATAGGAACAGAGGGACACAAGGTCGCTCTCTCTTGGCTCTTGGCTCTGGGCTCTCTCTGACTCTCTCTCTCTCTCGATGTAAAGATGTAAGGATGTAAAGAAGTCCAGCAAATACCATCTGCTTTTGAATGTCCATTACCCGAAACATCGTTTGTTGTTTTATTATGTATCCTTAACTAAGAATAAACCTGAAGAAACCGTAAGTCAGATTGCGTATTAGTACTTTTCAATAATATAGACATATATTATTGTGGCGAGCATTTGGCCCAAGACTATATATACAAAAGACGTATATATATCAATCAACTGAAGACAAGAAGAAATTAAGAAGATTTAACAGTGACGATCGTTCCAACCAGATTTTACAATGACAGTGTCTGTATGACTGTATCTCAATATCTGTGCCTGTATGTCTCTGTATGATTGTGTATGTCTGTGTATGTATGTCAGTGTCTGTATGACTGTATGTGAATGTCTGTGCCTGTATGACTGTGTATGACACTGTCTGTATGTCTCTTTCTGTATATCACTGTATGTCTGTATGTAACTTTCCTCTTCCAAATGTTACACAACATCCCATGACATTGTGAACAGTGGAATCACGCATACATGATGAATTATGCAAATTAGCATGATCTGTATTTTTTTCCCAAGAAAGGTGGCAACCCTATGGCCAAATAGGTGTCCCGTATTAATGGGTATCCCAATTCTCACTTGTATTTTGATGGCATGATGCTTCATAGATTATTACTTTAAAGTTTAATTATATTACATATTCCTAAAGCTTTAACAGGGATAACACACCTTAGACATTTAGTAGAGAACCTGTCTCTTTCTGACTGACTCTGTCAGGGGTATTAACTAAACATAAACTTTTAGCAAATTAAATCCGAATGGCAAAATGCTGAAAGAGCAAAGTGAGTAGAATGGAGTTGGATTTGCCATTTCGATGTAATTTGTTAAAATGATGTGTTTAATGAGTAACCCTGTGTATACTTCCATTTCAGTATCGTCACCGCATTCCACCTTACCCAGTGATTGGAAGATCTCCAGCGGGGCATACTTGCCCTCAAAAAAGACGGTGCTGTTGTAACAGTTAAATGCACGGCTCATTCTGATCAAAAGGACCTCCATGGCTCCTATACAGACATAGAGAGATGCACAGATAGTTATCATTCTTTTTAAAGGCAAATGTTACAGACATATCAGGTTTTGGGAGGTGGGGGGGGGGGGGATATAACGTAGGGACCAGTGAAGGTTAGGAGCTCATCTTAAAAGATTTGTAAGTTTTAAGGAGCTCTGTATAAATTAAGAAGATATGAGAAGTATGAGGAGTTCTTTATAAAAAATAAAAAAGAAGACACATTGGTTGTTTGAGGAGCTCTGTACAAGTGAATAAGAGACATGGGAGGTTGAAGAAACTTTTTATAACTGAAAAGCGTACCTTGCCATTGCAGAACAAAAAGATGGACATATAATAAGATTCAAATTACCAGCTTTCAGGAGGACAATCTGATCATTTGGATTCAGCTCCATGAAGCCGCTGAGCCGTTTGGCAAATTCCACAATGTATTGAATGGCTTCTGTGACATGACAAACACAACGCTCCCAAATATGGTCAATGGGCTGTATATAAACAGAAATAATGGTAACGTTGGGCCTACCTTATAGTAAGCAGCAATTCAACAACACATCTCTCCGTATTTCATTATATGTATTTAATAGAGCTGCCGTATATGGTACGTGGACATTCTATATATATGTCTAGATGCTACCATTATATGTAATCTGAAGTCCTGTCTCATGTCTGAAAATATTGATCTGACCATATCTGGATCAGAATTATACGGTATGTAGACACACTGGATATATCTACTTGCACTTGTGTGTGTATCTGTGATTAGACGTTTATAAAATCTTGAGACGTAATACATGCTTTTCTGGAAACTGCCTTATATATTGTCTGCAGGGCCAACAAATGTCTAAATCCAATCTTTTATGGCATCTGGAAACAGACGCATTTCTGGACACATCCTTTCCTTGTATCTGGAAGAGGTGTGTGGATCGACATTTGTTAGGTATACACACCTATTGTGTCTGCTAGCTTCTGGACTGGAAGCACCGGGACTTGGGTACCTTATTGCCAAGTAACGGTGCCCAAGGTGGGGAATATGTAAAGATAGAGTACAAATTTAAGCTGCTAAACACACACTATGCAACACAAAACACATGCCTATTCACTGGCATTGCACACAATGCAACAGCTACTTCACTCACACTGAGATTACATACAAAAATCTGCAGACAGGCTGACATTGCACACACCAAAATGCTGACTCAAACTGATATTTACACATATGCTAATTGTTTAGATCCATATCAAACTTCATCTGAATTTGGAATTGTCCAAATCTCCAAATTCTTTACAATCCATTTGTTTTAGTAAGGACAGTAAATTAGCAACTTATCTGCTAAGCAACTGAAAGAGCAACATTAAAGTTATTTTTGTCTTTCAGATGTTTAGCAGATAGCTATCTAATTAGCTATCCTAACGGGGATCGCCATATATCAGAGTATCAGATTAGGGACTTATTTACTAAACAACTAAATGTTCTTTTTGTCTTTCAGCTGTTTACTAGATAGCTCCCTAATCTGGCACCCAATGAAGAATACCAAATAAGAAAGCTATGTGCTAAACAATGCCCCCTTTCCAAATTTTGGCCGAACCAAAATCTGAAGATTAACGAATCAAAGCAAATATATTTTTCACCCATATACACCTATTGATACTGCAATAACTGAGACTGCCTTCTCAGAATTCTAACACACTTACACTAACATTAAATACAAAGAAACACTGACATGAAAACTAACATTGTATTCAGTGACATTGCATTCACAGAAACACTTACAGGACACATTTATAAAAACAGACACACTAAATCTAACAATGTGTACTCTGACACTGCATACTCAGAAACACTACATACACTCACTCTGACACTACAGAGAGAAACAGGGACACATTTGCTCTGACATTACACACAGACACACACTTACACTGCATGCACCAACACTGACAGACATACACTACCTACACAGAAACACTCACCCACACTGCATACACAGAAATACTGGAATACTCACATAGACATTGTTCACACTGAAACACTCACATTAACAGCGCGCATACATTAATACAGATATACACAATCTAATATTGTAGACACTGACACTACTTACACAGAAACACTGACACACTTACACTGATGTTGCACACTTAGAAACATAGACACTGTACACACAGAAACACTGACACACTCACAGTAACAGTGCACACATACATAAACACACACAGGTAAACAAACATTGCATACACTGTATACTGTATACACAGAAATACTGACACTACATGCACAGACAAACTGATATTGTATGTTCAGAAACACTGACACATTTAATCTGACATTAGAAACACTGACACATAAACACTTGTACCAAAAATATCAAGGGTGGCCCTGATCTTGATAATGTCTCAAGTTACTGTGGATACAAAAGCGACCCTTGATAAAACATTGTCTCATGCTCTGATCTGATTCAAATCTGCTTGAACCCTGACGCCTGTGTGCCTGGACCATTTACTCGTTTACTGGTCATTGAAGTGTTGCTATGCTGATCAATCTGAGCACCTCCGAGATTGTGTACTTTGGTGAATGTGAGCAATCATTTTGTTTGTGTATTAGTCAAGTTACTGTGAAGTCAATTTTGCATTATATAGAGATAGGACATGTCTGTCCTGACTTAACCTTATATTGGTTTTGGAAGACTCTCTTGACCTGCCTTTATATGATATCTGAAGATTTGACGCATGTCTATCTGTGATGTCTATAGACCTGAGAAATGTCTAATTAATCATCAGATAGATTGTTTGCACAGTGTGTTACGATACACACCCAAATACTGGTTCCATTCTTGCCAGAAGGTTAATATGAGACATTTAGAATTTCTCTTTTGTATCAGCCAAGGTGTGAAAGTGCTGTATAGCAGCAGTATATGGAATTCAGGCAATCAAGACTGAGATCTCAAAGAATTGACTGTGATTACTTAATTGATTTTATATTGGGAATTCTTAATATTCACATACTGTCAGGCATGCTTTTAATCTCTACCTGACTGAATGCAGACACCGAGAACTGGCCACTCTTTCCTTCAAACACTGCAGGATTTTCATTTGACCGTATTTGCCAAATTAACAGAAGACAATGTTGCTACATAGAAACATAGAATGTGATGGCAGATAAGAACCATTCGGCCCATCTAGTCTGCCCAATTTTCTAAATACTTTCATTAGTCCCTGGCCTTCTCTTATAGTTAGGATAGCCTTATGCCTATCCCATGCATGCTTAAACTCTTTTACTGTGTTAACCTTTACCACTTCAGCTGGAAGACTACTCTCTCAGTAAAGTAATACTTCTGGATATTTTTTTTAAACCTTTGCCCCTCTAATTTAATTTAATTTAAGACTATGTCCTCTTGTTGTGGTAGTTTTTCTTCTTTTAAATATAGTCTCCTCCTTTACTGTGTTGATTCCCTTTATGTATGTTTCTATCATATTCCTCCTGTCTCATCTTTCCTCCAAGCTATACATGTTAAGTTCCTTTCCTTTTAAGTTTTATCCTGCAATCCATGAACCAGTTTAGTAGCCCCTCTCTGAACTCTCTCCAAAGTTTCAATGTCCTTCTGGAGATACGGTCTCCAGTACTGTGTACAATACTCCAAGTAAGGTCTCACCAGAGTTTTGTACAATGGCATGAGCACTTCCCTCTTTCTACTGCTAAAACCTCTCCCTATACAACCAAACGCTCTGCTAGCATTTCCTGCTGCTCTATTACATTATCTGCCTACCTTTAATTCATCTGAAATAATTACCCCTAAATCCCTTTCCTCAGATGTTGAGTTAGGACTCTATCAAATATTCTATACTCTGCCCTTGGGTTTTTACTTCTAAGATACATTATCTTGCACTTATCCAGATCAGATGTCAGCCGCCACAGCTCTGACTATTTTTCTAGTTTACCTAAATCATTTGCTATTTGGCATATCCCTTCTGGAACATCAACCCTATTACATATCTTAGTATCATCAGCAGAAAGACATACCTTACCATCCAGACTTTCTGCAATATCACTAATAAAAATATTAAAGAGAATGGGTCCAAGTACAGATCCCAGAGGTACCCCACTGGTTACAAGACCAAGCTTTGAATATACTCCATTAACTACAACCCTCTGTTGCCTGTCACTCAGCCGCTGCCTTACGTATTCAACAATATTGGAATCCAAACTTAAATATTGCAGTTTATTGATAAGCCTTCTATGTGCAACAGTGTCAAAAGCCTTAATGAAATCTAGGTAAGCAATGTCTACTGCATCACCCTGTTCTAATATTTTAGTTAACTAATCAAAAAAATCAATACGTTTGGGATGATCTCCCTGAAGTAAACCCATGTCGTCTCTGATCTTGAAATCCATGTGATTTTAGATATTGAGCAATCCTATCCTTTAACATGGTTTCTATTACTTTCCCCACTACTGAAGTAAGGCTTACTGACCTATAGTTGCCCGACTCCTCCCTACTACCTTTTTTTGTGAATAGGCACAATATTCCCTAACTTCCAATCTTCTGGAATTGTTAACTCCTGTTAACACTGTTTGGTTAAATAAATCTGTAAATGGTTTTGCTAGTATTCCACTAAGCTCTTTTAATAACTTTGGGTGTATTCCATAAGGCCCCATTGACTTATTTGTCTTTACTTTTGACAGTTGAAATAGAACCTCTTCCTCTGTAAACTCATGTGTAATAAATGACTCGTTTGTCCTTTTTCCTAACTGAGGCCCCTTTGCTTAATTTTCATCTGTAAATACTGAACACAAATATTAATTGAGGCAGACAGCTAGACGTTTATCCTCTTCTACAGACCTTCCTTCTTATGTTTTTAATCTAACTAATCCTTGTTTTACTTTCCTTTTCTCATGTATGTATCTAAAAAATGTTTTGTCCCCTTTTTTACTGACTGTGCTATTTTCTTTTCTGTGTGTAATTTGGAAGCTTGTATAACTTGTTTTGCCTCTTTCTGCCTAATCTTATAAATCTGTCTATCTTCTAAACTCTGTTTTTTTTTTATAATTACTAAATGTTAACTATTAGTTTTTTACTATTTTAGCCACTTCTGCGGAGTACCACAGTGGTTTCTTAAATTTTTTGCTTTTACTGATAAGCCTAATGCTGTTTTATGTTGTCTTCAGTAGTGCAACTTTTAAATAAATCCATTTCTCTTGGACTCCATTTAAATTGATCCAGTCTGATAATGGCTCCTTTACACATATTCTATTTTTAGAAAAGTCTGTTTTTCTAAAGTCTAAAATTTTAGTTTTTGTGTGGTGTGACTCAACCGCACTGACTGATGATCACTGGATCCTAAACTTTCACCTACAGTAATATATAATACCAAATCTCCATTTGTTAACACTAAATCTAGTATGGCCTCTTTACGAGTTGGCTCCTCAACAACTTGTTTTAGAGCCAATCCCAGTAGCGAGTTTAGAGTATGTGTGCTCCTGGCACAAGCAACTATTTTGGTTTTCCAGTTCACATCAGGAAGATGAAAGTCACCCAAGATGATAACTTCGCCCTTGATTGCCATTTTAGCTATTTCTTCAACAAGTAAATTATCTAACTTTTCTATTTGTCCTGGGGGCCTAAAAATCACACCTCCACAAGTTGTACACTGTGTGATAACAAAATTCTAATGTAACCCAAACGGACTCTATGTTCGCCTCACTAACTTTTATTAGGCTAGATTTTATGCTATCCTTCACATTCAGTGTCCTATTGTGTTTTACACCCCACCTCCTATAGACCGTAAGCTCATTTGAGCAGGGTCCTCTTCAACCTATTGTTCCTGTAAGTTTTCTTGTAATTGTCCTATCTATAGTTAAATCCCCCCTCTTTTAATATTGTAAAGTGCTACAGAATCTGAGCGCTATGTAAATGTAGATTTAGTCGCTGTTACTGAGACAGGGTATAACATATTCTGTTTTTGTGGATTTGTGTTTGTTTCCATTGGCATAGGCAGATCCACAGTTTTACTCTGTATGAATTTTTTTTGTCTTTGTACTTTCTAATGAAAACCCCAAATAACGATTCAGTAAATTTTACGGTCTATTTAAAACACTGATTTGTGACTTTGAATAATTCGTCTTCTCAACATAACTAAGTGTTTTGTTTTTATTTTGTTTAAACAGTTCAGTAGATTTACAGTGAGTTTCACAAAATATCTGCACTTGTGTTTCTTGACTCTAATGCTTACGTAGCCCAGAATGTATCTGGTCCTGACTAGATGGAGATGTGTGATTGTTGTAAATGGAAAATAAAACGAGTACCGCAGCATGAAATACAGTATAAATATATAATGTTGTAAAAATGTTAAAACTACAAATAAGTATGTGTTTGGACAGGACAAAATCTAAAAAAAATGGAGATGTTGTAAAATACAAATATATGAGTCAGAGCAAAGGAAGTCTGTGACTGAAAGAATATAGCTAATCACACAGTAACAAATTCAGACTTGGCTGACAGATTGTAATCCGTCCAAGATCCAGTTTGTTTCGTTCACAGTTTGTTATTATTGCAGGATTTGTTGGGTTACCTTCTGCTGAAAGCTCAACACCTCCTCTGGTGAATAGGTCTCCCACCTCAAAACCTGCAGATTCTCTTGGCGGAATCGACAAGTCTCTCCTTGTGCTAAAACTACGTTTTGTATCAGCAAGTCTGGGGGTGAGAGAGATGGGAGTGAGGGAATGAGAGGTAAGTGGCTGTGAGAAAGATGAGTAAGGAATTCAGAAAACTGTCAACAGTGCAAGAATGGAAAAGGAGTGTCTGATAAAGATGGAAGAATTTAAATAAAGATTGCATTAGCCAAACAGACGTTAAGGAACAAGAAAGTAGTGACTAACAGAGAAAGAATTTATTGAGAAAATATTGATTGCTAGATGGGAATGAGTGAGAAAATTGTCTGGCATAAGAAAGGACTGACTAAAAGACAGGAGTAAGGGAATGAAAGAGGGGTGATTGGAAAAAACAAGTAAAATTATGAGAGAGGTGTGGCAGAGAAAAAGAACCAAACAAATGAGAAAGAGGTGACGTAAATTAGAGACATGGGTAGGCTCTCGCTGACTCAAGAATCATGGAGATATCAGCGAGGGAGGGAGTGTACTAGCTGAGTAGGTTAAAAAGTGCTAGACTGTGTGAGAGAGAGATGTATTAATGTAGTTGAGATAAGTGTGGGCAATAGAATATTCCGTACTGAAGGTGTTAGGATTGTTTTAGGTAGAAACTTATTAAGAAAGCAAAACAAATGTAAATTTTTCAACATAAACGAAAGTGGAGTGTTAAGACAGACGGACATACTCACCTAGCTCTGTGACAGACATCACAAATTCTGAGGCTAGTGAGTTGCCAAAGTTTAGGCTAAAATAGGATTCTGGGCTTTGGATGGCATGCAGTCTTTGGAACACACTAGCTCTTGCATGTTCCACATGAAGTTGTTGGTCTCTGAAGTAGATCTTCCTATATGTGGCCTCCATTGATGACTTCTCTGAGGTGTGAGGCTGGTGGAGGATGTTATCCCTCTGGAGTTGTGCTTTAGATGGTGGGTTGGAATGTACGGAGCAGGAGGACTCCCATTTGTTCTGACCGCTCCATGTTGTGGTGCTATAGGCTTCAGACAGCCTTGGTGAGACATTTGGTTGCTCCATGTCTTGAGAGTCCGAACTGCAAGGATTGGTTGACATTTCTGTTCTCTGCTCTCTCAGACGATGCTTCTGAACCTCGGCTTGTAAGATTTCACGCTGTTTCTTGGACATTCGGCCAAACTTTACAGCTGCAATGGTTATAATAGTTACATTCAGGAAATGGCTACATGTGAAGGATGGAACAGCCAAAAACATTTAGGTTTCAAAACATTCTTTCAATTTGTATATTAGGAAACATTGGGTGTACACATCATTAGTTGAGGGCAGTGGATTAAATGTGTTTGTGACTTTTGGGACCTGCCACCATTGGGTCTTTATGTGAGATAGTAAGAGGGTGATGTCCTGCCACATAAACATCCAGTAGTATTGGAGATGTTCATAGTACAAGGTGAGAACCCATAATTCTTCCAATCCGTTTTAAAACAAAGACCTAAATAAATTAACTCTATGCTTAAAGGTGAACTGTCACTATCCAGGATTTTTAACATTATGTTTACTAACCTCATATTGATAAATAAAATTAAAAGTAGAAATCCAAACCTCTTTATCCTGCAACTGGGCGCCCCTATCTTAGCTCTTAACCAATCAATGTTTTAATATATTTCCTTTGCACCTGGTAATCCGCATCGAGAAAGCAGACAGAGAAGAGGAGAAATGAAACAATGTTTCTGCTTCTCCTTCTCATTTGCCTTTTTTGCCCTGGATTTGCCTTGTCTGAATTAAATTACAATGTCACTCGCTAAAACTTTAATCCAAATTTAAAATCAAACAGGGCATCCCAGGAAAAAAAAAATAAGCCTTTCCTCTCTCTTTTCCTCATTTAAGGTGGGATAAGGGAATGAACTGGGCTGGTTTTCAATCTTCCCTCTAACTTGTGGAATAATGAGATTATTATGTATGACAATGTGGAATGAGATCTCCAGACTTCTCAAGTAGATAACGAATGACCAAGGGATGCCGGGTCTGATGATCATAACACCAACCAGACTTCTCATACTGCATGTACTATGTTGGTGGAGCTACTCACAGCCTTTGAAAATGATTGGCATTAATTCATTGAGACATCCCCTAGTAGCTCTTTGTTTCACATTTACCCTATAAGCCATTTCGACACATTACATCTTTCCATATTCTTTGTAGTTCTGTTGTCTTGTTCAGTGCCATAAAACACGTTTGCTGTATTTAAATAATAAAGTCCTTGTGGGTTATTTTAAATAATAAAGTAACACGAGAAAGCTCCTTCAATCGGGTTACTTATTCATGGGAACCAGAAGAAACTGGTAGAGTCCATTTTAGTGTAGCTAGAGTAGTCAAGTGAATGGGAATTTACTGAGAACCATGAGCAGTCTCACAGTGTTATTTACTAAGGTGAGAATTGTAAGTGGATTTGAAATTTACCGCCAGACCAGCCAAATTGAAAGCATAGCTAACCTTGAGAATTTTTCCAGCTTGACTGTTTTGACATTACATTTCAAATTCACTTAGAATTCTCAGTCTAGTGAACATTCCCTGTTAATTGTTTTTGAAGCTGTTTGAAATGTTAGGAGTTGGGTTTGAGTGTGCAGGTAAACTCATTCTAGTACGGTAGATAATCAGAGAGGTGTGACCCACCATTCCGTGACATTCCAAGGGAAAGACATTTCTGAAGCCGGCAGTGTTGGCAACGGTTTCTGCTGGAGCGGTCAATCTGGCAGCTTTGTTGCTGACTGCAGGAGTAAAGCGGTTTGCCCTGTTGACTTCTTCTAAAAAATCCCTGTCGTAAACAAATATGAAGCAGCAAGTTATTATTTATTTGTGGTGTACATATATTGGAGAGCATCAAAATGGTAGCATTATTGTGGTTTGGGGTACTGCATTATTTGGGGTAGGGGGTTACATTGCCATACTCTTTGGTACTCTCTGTACCCCCTGATTAGAATAATCTGACCCCCAGTGTCCATATTTAGTGTTAGGGGACTATAAACGATAAGGTGTACAACTGCACTCAAGGTTCTGCCAGAAGAGGATTCCATAACTTCCTGTCCTGGTTAAACGTACAGACCACGGCATCTTTAGTGTCTAGATCATTTTTTAAAAAATTTTTGGGGGAAATTGCAGTATTTACATTACAGGGTTAAACATACTAGTGGCTGTATTCCACTCGGTCACGTGATGTGGAAACCTCCAAAAGAAAGCCTTGATGCAGTACTTTCCCATGGGTAACTTTGATACACACGGTTGCGCATGCACATCAGGTATTTAATGCTCCTTTATGAGGAGCATTGACTGGACCATTGCTCAGGAGGCCATGCTTCCCCATGACTTCATGGTAGGCGCAGGGATAAGCATCAACAAGGGAGCCTCTGCATCGGAAAAAGGTAAGTAAATACTGTATTTAATTAATTTGGGGGAGAAAGCTTTAGTGTTCCTTTCACAGCACGTGCCATCGTAGTAAAGATGCTGAACTCACACTCAATACATTGCACTGCAATATTGCTGTAATGACAGCCAATACTTTAAGCATACCATTTAAACAGTGATTTTTTTAATGGTAGGTTATCCGCCTTTTCTCTGCCATCTAGCACAGAGTTAAGACTTTTTCCTAGTTTGTTGCAAAATTGGAAGCGCTTCAGACTGGATTTCTTTCCTTCTTTTGGATCAACAGCAAAAACAAATGTGAGAAAGCCTGAACTTGATGGACACAAGTCTTTTTTTAAACTTTGCTACTATGTAACAGGTATGAATATCTTGCTAAACCTCATTTGCATCACTAATGCAATTGGAATCAGAGGCTGGTACCCATGCCCTCCTTTCCCCAGTCTGCCCTTCTCCCACATTCTAATTAAAAGAACATCTATCACACTTCTGGATTTTATGCTACTGAGAAGCCATTCCTCATATTTACTACCCCTTACTCTGATCTCCCTGAGATAGCATCTTACTGGCAAGTAACCTCTCATTTGTGTACAGTCTGCTCACCTTGCATCCTTCACATGTTATAACTCCGTAGTGGATTCCAGAGGATTTGTCCCCACATATCTTACACGGAATCACTTCGATCTGGGCTGCAGAGTAAAGGACAGAGACAGCAATTTGAGCAAGAACTTGAGATTTCCATTGACAGTAATGAGGAACCCACCAAGAGATTGAACTCCCACGGGTGACATATAGTGTAGAAAGAATCTTGATTTTTCCATGCAGCACTTACAATCAGGTGACACCAATACATCCTCTGCCCACGGATATTTCAAAATATTAATAGGTATTTAGGTAACCAAATGGCTAACGCTGAGTTTGCTGTTTTAGTGATGGAAAACAACATAAAGTAAAAAGGGTGAAGACAATTCTACAGACTCGGGGAGTGGGGAGGGCGGATGGAGTCATTGACCGGAATTTACATTTTAAGGGGAAAAAAATGTAGTTAAATTCTGGTAATTTGGAGGTAATAATTTACCTAATTCATTATTTTTAGTTCTATAAATAAGCACGCAAATCGAAATCTCTGTATCATTAATTGAGGGCAGTAGGATGTCGATTATTTTCCACTTTTATACATAATACAATGTTTGACTTTTTCAGCATCAGGTTTTCTGAGTTTGGTTTTCTTTCTTTCTTTCTTTATTTTCTTTTCTTTTTTTTTAATTAATGCCACAAATCACAAATCAAATTTCATTTTGGGATTTTCTCCAAACTTTGCTGTTTGGAGGGTACATTCAAATTGTACTAAATAAGCCAAATTGCATTGGTGTAGATAGTACTAATAACAAAAATAATCACACCGTCTCCTTAATATTCAGATTTTTTTTTTTATAATTACTCTTGCTATGTTATACTTTATTATTGAAAGATTTTCAGTGAACTAAGTGATTTAACCCCTTAAGGACACATGACGTGTGATATGTCATGATTCCCTTTTATTCCAGAAGTTTGGTCCTTAAGGGGTTAAAGGGACAATGTAACACAAAATCCACTATATCTTAATGTTGTAGTTTTGGTACATTGAAACAAACCCCTTTTTTCGAACAGAGTATAATCATTATGGTGTCTGAGAAATGGTTTGAGAACATGTCTCTGGTGACTGTAAGGCAGACAGTCACTAAAGGTAATCATGACCTTTAATTTTCAAGTATCCTCATTCAGCATCATCCCGCACAGCGTAAGGACACCAAATACAATTACTGATTCTCATGTGCTCTCTCTCTAGAAAGCATTGGATTGGACGGAGATCATCAACCCTGATTATATCACAGAAGGCGGAGCTTCTGCTGTGAGGACACTGTCCTAGGGCTGGAATAAAAACATATATTTTGTATATGTAAACAAAAAGGACCCCTAAACAGAGCAAGGAATATTCTAATGTTAAAACTGCCCCCACTGCAGCCTTTTATAAATACTGCTGTCACGCCATTTGGCAACCCTAAATATTGTCTTTCTGTACTAATATGGATTTATTTCCATACATTAACTCACACTTTCAAAGCTCTAAACTCTCAACTATTACATTTATTCTCTAATTCATAAATAAAGCCCTTCTTGACCTCCGCGCTGTGCCCATGCCTTTGACTTGTTCGTTGTTCACTCTTGCGTCTCACCTACAGGACTTCACAAGGGGAGAACCATTCATATGGAATACCTTACCTCTTCCTATCACACTTTCCCTTATGCTACACTTTCCCTTATTCTACAGTTCTTCAATAAGTCTGCAAAAAAAAAAAAAACAATCTACTAACGAAAGCTTATCATTTTCCTCATTACGCTAATTTTATGTGTTTCTCCTCACAAAAATAACACAACAGTTTACTGTTTTCGGGTTGTAGAGGTACCTATAAATTATTTTAACTCTCTTTTTAAAAAGAATTGCCAGTCACTGATATTATAATAGGATGTTTTTATTGTGTCTTTATGTATATTTCCATATGTATATCGAAGTGATCAACTTAGCGGTCCTTGCTATATCACTGTCGGCTTATCTGCTTAGAAATAATAAAAAAAAGTTGGTCTTATCTGTTATAATATATCCAGAACTCTTCCTCGGTATTACGTAATCACAATGTAACAAACAAACACCTTTTTTTTTTTTTTTTCACAATCGCTCAATACTATTTAATTAGAATTCTATTTCAGATTTTAACTAAAATTGTTTAAAAAAGAATAGAAAAAAGAAACAAGTGTTGCTTCTGTGGATTTGAAAGCAGGTGTTTTTTTTATCTCGAAACTTATGTATAATCATCTAACACATTCATCTTCTGTGGTTGACAACAAGGATGAGTAAGTAGTATTTTGGCTGCAGGTGCTATGCTATAAAGTATTTTAGAAGGTGGACCCATAGCACTTAGTGTTGTTGTTTTTTTGCTTTTTATTTATTTTTTTGCTACTTAAACTTACAAATTTAGTTATTGCTTTTCTTGAGATAGACTTGCATCCGATGTTTAAAGATTATACATTTCATTTTTTTTAGAGATCTATTTTATGATTATTTTTCCATTACTTGTTATTGAGACCTTGAAAACATTTTTACGGATTGGGTAAAATAATCCTGCTATGTTTCTGCTGAGCTTTAACCTATTCTTTGCCAGAACTCGATGACACAAGTGGGGGAAATTTGACACGTCGCATGCAAATGAGAAAGCCTGCAGTATCGAAATGTTGTGTAACGGAGTGGATGATTAAATGCAGTGGCTTGTGGTGTAATGTTACTTTCTGTTTCATGTGATTGTATATTTGCATACAATTCGTTGTTTGTAACCAGCGCATTCTTGGAACTGACCTCTCAGAGTGACAGAGCGCACGGCTCTTATCTTTCTAGCCTACCACGATAAGCTGTCTATCTGCCGTATGGTGCTAAAAACCAACATGAGACTCAGACAAATTGTAAATTAAATCAACCACTTGCTTCAGTATACTGTTCTCTCACTCTCACAGAGATTGAGTTAGACACTTGTTTATAGTCCTGTTAACTTGGTAAAGAATGTTAAAACTGTGTTTCCTTTAGGCTACTAGGTCAAATTTTCCTATATTCAAATGCACTGCGTATTGGACTCAAAAGCTTTTTCTGCACCCAAATTAACAGGTTATTTTCAGTTGCGGCAACAAAAAGGATTTTTTAGGATTAGGGATTATTTGGTATTAAATTACCCTGTTCAGAATATACCTTGTTGAAACCCAACAAGCTTCTGTACCATGTTAAGGCTTCTCTTACAACCAATTAAGAACCATTCTTATTATGAACCAGTTTGTCAAAGGATAATAAAGTCCTCTGGCTTGATGTCCATCGTCTATTTGAACCTCTTAGATGTGGCATATCTTCAACACTGCTTTGGGTGGATCTCTCGACCCTGAGGATTGGTCTACTGTCCTTGAAAATTACACTAAATTACCTCTATGCCTATCCCGACGGGGAAAACTGCTATGAGACCCTTTCCCGTTGGTACTTGTCTCCAACCTAATTTCAATATATCTGCTCTTCACTTTCCTCCTCATGCTTTTGAGGATGTCTACTTGAGGGTGTCTATTTGCATATGTGGTAGTATGCCCTCTCCTTCAGCCTGCATATAAACCTATGTTCCAGAAAACTGTTGCAGCTGTGGAAGAGAATTTGGATCCAGATGTCTGTTCTGCTTTGCTTGATAGGTCTTATCTACGTAAAGAGCGATCCTTAGCCTTGCACAGCTTATGGACTCTTTATTGCAAAACAGTGGAAGAGTACTACCAAACTTATTTTACTGCTAAGCGGTGGGTATCACCTTGCAATGGAGAGAATGATACCTAGAGTTCCCGTAGTTCTGCATCTTTTTCCAAAACATGGACCCCATGACTTGAGGCAAACTCATATCTAGGCATTCTGGTTGAGCTCCACCAGTAGGAGTCATGGGTTATGTGATGGGTTGGTTGTTGTATTACTGTATTAATTCATGGTTTCTGACCCTGCAGGAAATACAATAGAGCAATGGTTTGGACCGCACTCATATAGCATCAGATATCGCCTGGAGTTGTCCATGAAAAGGACTGATTTATTGAACAACATAGTCATACACGACAGGAAATCAGACTATACAGTTGCAGAAAGGTATTATTAAAGAAATACAGCAAAAAAAAAAATCCACTCACTTGGAAAAGGATGGGGGACAGACAATCCCTCCTCAAATAAAAGATAGCTGGACGCACTGCGTGTCTACTACCGATACTTGCTCAAAGGAGCTGCTAACCGTGTATTTGGGTGGGGGTTGTTGCGAAGCACCCCCCACCTTCCTCCACTCCCTCCCATCCTGTTCTTTTCAGGTTTGTGGACGTATTGTTTTTTATATTATCTGTTTACACCTATATAGTCTGATTTACTGCCATGTATGACTATTTTTCTCAATAAATCAGCCTATTTTATCCAAAACTCCAGGTCGATATCTGATCTAATGCGATGTCCAAACCATTGCTCTATTCTATTAACCAATTGTGGAACAGAGGAATCAGCATGACTGGCATTTATTGGAGCAGTTTTACTATGGAGTGAATAACGTTTTTATATTTTTCTTTCTATCATTGGGGTAACGTCAGAGAATTTGGCTTTTTATTTCTCTGACCTTATGCGTTCATATTGCGTTGCTGATTTTTATTCTGTAAATCCTTGCTGTCTTACTTACAAAATTCAATAGAAACATAATTGAAGAAAAATTAAATCAAGTGTTTTTTTAAAAATGTTTATATAAAAAAAAACTTAACAGAGACATAGAAGGGCGATATCAGTGATGTCATAGCATGCATCTGCTCGTGTTATTTAGAGGTGTGACATCATGATCCAAACTGAGACCATCAGTGTCTGCATAGTTGATAGGAATTATTAACACAGTTTCCAGAATAGCTGGATCCTTTGATTAACAGTGACCATTTTACTGTAGCCAGTCAGCACCGGAAGAGGTCCCAGACATTATCCCCCCCATTTGTGAACTTGAATTTAATGTTATTGTCATCTGTAATCAAGCAGTGTTGACTTAGATCAAATTATGTTAAAAAAAAAAAAAAATCCTCTTTATTCTGTCCTAATGTTTTATCAACTCTATTACTATTACAAAATACAATTATATTGCACATTCTTTTTTTGTTTATTTTCTTATTATTAAGTAGGTATTTTCACAATCTGCTAAATTTTGTTATATGGTGACATTCAGCTATCTCCCACAGCTGGTTTACATGTGGGGTGTTTTAAAAGTGCATATGTGCGATATGTACGTGACATTTAAAATTCTACCCATAATGTGACTCTTGTTTATGTATTTGTCTGTTGTGTCTGCAGTTTCATCAGGAGTATAGAGATGTTTCTGGCAGAGTTTTTTTTTTTTTTACAGCAGACAGCTGTAACATACAAGGGTTGAAACCGTTGCTCTGTAGCAGTGCATTTATTCAAGGGGAGCAGAGTACGGGTGCAGTATACCCTTCCCAAAATAAAGATCATTATCTCTGCACTCGTCGTCTACCTGGACAGGATATTTCACAAGCCTCCTCTGATGTTAGCTGTGTAAGTCTAGGTTTTTTTCCGTGGGCGTAGAAGCACCAAAGCAAGACAGAAGCCATCACAGTCTGAGTCAGCTCTGCTAACCTGCGGCCAGATATTACTCAGGGTTTGCTCTCAGCAGTGGCTGACGGTAACTCTCCCTTTTATATGATGGATCCTGACGGGAACACAAACCCCAGAAAAGGTCAGACAGATCCCAGCCAGTAAGGACAGACAGATCCTACTCACCTTTTCCAGACAAAAGAATCAGGGACTACCCCTATACCCAGAAATGTAAATGCAGAGTCCCTCTTACTTCTTACTGTCAGTACGTGTTGACCCCATAACCTTGAACAATTTGATTATGCAAGCTTAAGTGCTAGACATTTAATTCATAAAACAACGTCATCATGTCATTTAACATGAGTTTGTGCATTATACATTCAACTCTCCCATCTAAAATGTATCAGCCATTTATGTGGTAATGCAAGGGTCCACAATGCGTTCACAGCTCCTTATTATGAAAGATTCAGCCATGAACCCAAAACATCTTATAAGGGCCTTCATATCGGCAGACGGGAGTCTTTATATACAATAAAAGAAAGCATAATTCTCAAAGGCTTTGTGAGAGATACTAAAGCACTTATTGCATGATCATGATAAGTTATATAACACAAACTTAGTGGTGAGATTATTATTATTATTAGCACTTATATATCGCCAACATCACTTTATAAAAAATGGAAAGGGGATATTTAGAGGTGAAGTAGGCATTGCTCAAGTAAGTTTATAATCTGTGAGGATTTTAGGTACACTTACTAGTGAGAAAGTCTGATCGTGATTCTAACCTGGGTTTCCCTTTACTAAGGAATTAAACAAATCACTAGTCTAAGCATCTGATATTGGATACTCTTTGATCTACTACTAATTGAAGGGGTGATTCCTGGTTGTGACGAACTGAACCTCGTCACAGGTTCTTGAAGGCCTGCTGGCCAGCCTCTTGCCTCAGGACTATAGGCCCTGCGATATACCTTACCCAATGCACTTTAAAAGGCTCAGTTCATGTGAGTTATGTACTTTTGTACTCCAGACAGAGAGATCGACCGTTAGCCCTGATTCACTGGAACTGCTTAGGGCATAGGACCATCTGCACGGTCAGTCAAAAATAAGCCTTCCAGGAAATTCCTGAACCCCTGAACTGACCTGGGTGATTTTGGGATATGTTAGTCACCCAGATCGGGGCTATCGGGGGATGCAACTTTTGTGGGGGTTTTGTGTGTTTTGGGTTATTTTGGGGGGGTTTGTAAAAATGTATGGTTTTTTTTCTGTGCTTGGAGATAATTGTATTAGATTAGTACAGTTCCTAATCCAATTATCTCCCAGGCACAGAGAAGGGATTATCTAATTTTGTATGGGAGTGTCCTGGACCTGAGAGCCAATGTGATTGTGTATTTATTTCTACTGTGGTTTACTCTCATGTCCAGGGGGGAATGCCCCTTGCATGGGGACTGTCATAAAAGGCCAGTTGCGGCTACCAATAAACTGAGATTTGTTTTACCCTTCATGAAGTCTAGGCTCATGTTTGAATCCACAATAATAACTTGGCAACATTAACACATATTTCAACATACTACCCTTTATTGCATCATCAGAGACCGACCAGGCTAAAAAAAAATGATCCCAAAATTTATAGTGTAGTGGTATGTTACGAGTGTTCTGTCACAATATGTACCTGTGCATTTTTATCTATAGGCTTTACTGCTATTCCGATGGCGTTGCTATAAACGGTCACAAAATTAAATTGAGATAAATGCTTAACGATATATTTGCTAACACAGAATAGAATGGAAATGATAGTCCTAACGAGACTTGAGTTAGATTTCACCCTGCAGGTGCATTTTAGCACAGCTGAACTTATCCACACACAGTGTTCCCATTGTGCCAAAAAGCAAGAAAGAATAGAGTATACATAGGTCCACAAAGGAGATACCCATTTACACAAGACCATAACTACACCACAGCAAAGATAGAACACACCAGCATGTTTATTTATAGCATGAGTCTGTTAGCTCACACACGCCTCTGCCACACTTGGGGTCTCCCCATGCAGGTGTTGCCTTATAACTGTTTGTTGATATCTCAGAAGATATCTCCCCACATTCCACATCAATGGAACAAAGTGGGACACAGGAGTACCCGCAGCACCTATCTAGCTACACCTGACATTACTCCAAAGAATGGCACTGTACCCAACTTTATACAGTGCATACAGAATGCCCTGTTCTTCTAACAGATATAAAACTAAACGGCCACCTTCAATTATACTCTAAACACGAATCAATCTACTTTTATATGTTACATTAGATCAACTCTGCTTGTAGGCTGTCCCATGTATCCACTGCTACTTTACAATATATTCCACGATCACTTTGAAAGAACTGATATTTCTATTTCAACTTGAAACAGGTCAAATCGGTCACTCAACTGCAATGACTGGACCGAGAATGATGTCCGTTGCTGTCCTCCACAGCTAGATTATGAAAAATGTTTGTCTTGAGATAATTCAACAAAATATTATTTCTCTTTTAAACAATTAAAATAATACAGACAGCAAACTTATATATGTAATGTGTGTGTTTTGTTTTTTTTTTGCCATATAATTTATTTATTTACAATTACAATGATTGATATAGTGACAGCATATTCTGCAGTTATATGAAGGAGAATTAGAGTGGATTATATTTTGGTTTGACCTTGAAATGAAGTCAATGTCAGGGACAATATTTGGTTTGTGGCTTTGCAGAAAGATGGGTCATACATATCTGCTTCTACTATCTGTAGGATAGATGCAATGTATACATTGTTATTACAAATAATTACAGAAATACTAAAATTATGACATATGTAAATTCGCTGGAATTCAGAATGCAAAACTGAGCAGTGGGTCATTATTAAAAGAAGATAATATATAATTCTTACAAAATGTTCTTAAATCTTACACTAGCTGGGGGGTTTCTAGAACACCAACACAGTATATATATATATATATATATATATATATTTACTACGGTAAATTCAAAGTGAATTTCAAATTTAGGTTTAAAATCGACAAACTGGACACTTTCTCTATGTCAGATATGATTTCTATTTAGCTACTCTGGCCTTAAATTTTTAATTTACTTTGAATTTATTTTTTGGTTATATATGTCTGTCTGTAAATAATATTTAATGACAACCGTGAACTTCAAACACATTGGAAGCAGAATAAACAACATCTAAAATATTAAATAAACCTCATACAGTATTTGGAGTATGATAGATTTGTTGTCTGCATCGACAGACAATTTTGATATTATAGGTGTTGCAATCCAAATGGCTCTGACGTAACCTGCACCTGTTTTTATTCCAGAGCTACCACTACTTTAGCAGGCTTGTGTACTTTAGTCTACTTCACTGCCACTTGTGATAAAAAATTTTTTTAAAAATCTAAGCACATTTTAATATTTAGACCAAAACAGCCAAATTAAAAACAGAAAGACAGCCATATTTTTAAATTGGTTATAACTAAAATGTGAAAATCACTTTAAATTTCCAGCAACTTTAGTGAATAATCCTGTTATTTAACACTTGGCATAATAAGCATTATCTGTGCACATTCTTATATTTCTTTATTTCACTTTTATTAATATTTTTAAACTGAAAATATTTATTATTTAAAGAAAATAGCATTTCTGTAAAATAAACATCCATTGAAACATGTTTTTCTTTTCCTTCAATATTTCTGTAAGTTATTTTTTCTGATTTCTTTTTTTCCTCTCTAACATGGCCTCCGTCTCTTATAATGTTGCGCGCCATTCACAGAAACTAAGCAATATTTTAATATCACTAGACTGTTTTTAAATTTTTTCCTATTCTGGTAGTGCCAAACTTGCACGAACCTTTTAATATTTTTTTTTATTTTATTGTTTGTGTAGCAGCTCAGTAATTAAGTAAAATAAGTCTTAATAAAGCGGTATGGTCATCAAAAGCGGGGGGAGGGGTAATTGTGAAACAACACTGTTGCTGTATTACATGAGAGCATTCGATAATCTTAAAAAACCGTACCCAGTAAATACAGGGAATTTCAAATGATTTATGTCGAGACGTCTAGATGGCTGGTGTTACTTTTTGTTTCAGTAACAAGATTGTCATATTATTTCACAGTTACATCTCTGACATACAAGAGAAAGTGAAAATACTTTCTTAAAAAGCATTCATAGAAAACGTTTTAAAATGTCCAATTTTAGATTTGTCCTTATTACGCATTGACAATAATGAATACTGACTACAGTATAGCACTGTTTCATTTTTACTTGATTCTATTACAGTATCACAGTACCAACAATGATGTTCATCCTTCACATGGAGGTCACACTCTGTGTTAAGCTAAAATAGTTTTAGAAATTTAAATTAAAATCTAATACTTTTTCTTTTAGATTAATTTTATTTCTATTTTTGCATTTCAGAATTTTATTATATGTGTTGAAGTTAATTGTTTTTGGTAATTTTTATAGGTCGAAATGTATTCTTTCATCAAAGTCTTTAAGAAATAAACAGGAGAATTTGCATAGCTAATCAGCTGTTAATATATATCAAGAAAGTGATGTATCTCAGGTAACTCAAATCACCATCTCATATTTTTTAAAATTTTTATTATTAATCATATTCAAAGGTATACGGTATATATTTCTAAGGTATGCTTAACATTTAGTAGAGTGGAGAGAGCAATATTAAAACACACTTTAAAATATAATGCTTACTTTATATTTTTTCTATATTGATGTTAAAATTGTTAAAGTTTATTTTCTAAAATTAACATACACAAATTGATAGAAGTACATGCATTGCTGTGTTACTGTGCAGGTTGGTTATATTTATTGATATTTAAATATTTCCCTGGAACAATTGATATAAAGTCTTTTTTTTAAAAAAAAGAAAACTGATTCTTTTTAATTTTATGGAAAATGTTTAAGAATGGAAGTGATTATTTTTTTTTTTTTTTTTGAACGTATTAAATTAAAATCATCTATGTCATTTTAATATTGTACTTTCAAAATCAAACTTTTTGGGTCCTGAAAAAGAGAACTATTCTAAGAATATAAAAATTTTCTTAATTTGAGTTATTAAAAAAAGACTAGTCTGCTCATGTACTCCATTATAACGAACTACCGTTAAATTATTGCTTACTTTGTTATTGAAATATGCCAGTGTGTCTATAAGCATGGATATATTTTATCCGATCAAGGTTTGTATTTCGGCTGGCAAAACTGATACAAAGTGCCACACTGTCTTTTTAGCATGCTAAACTGCCTTTCTTAGCCATTTTAAGTCCAATAGACTGTGTAATGCTCTCGTTTTATGTGTACTCGTGTGTGTGTGTGTGTGTGTGTGTGTATATATATATATTCATTTTTATGTGTACTAGTGTGTATACATTTTCATTTATATTTGTTTATTGGAAGGGGGCTGTGTTTTGGAAAGATATATAATGATACAACTTTTTTTGCTTCATGACCATGTGAGAGATTTACGAAGATGTGACTTTTATACCAAGGGGTCTTAAGAATGAGACTAAAATACTCCCCCGCTTAATTGGGCTTGATGCTCTGAATCACTGTGTACATGTTTCAGTCTATGTGTTTGGCATACGCAGAGAGACAAATACAGATGCTTCACTAAGAGACAGGTTGAAAGCTAGTCAATTGATTTAAAATGTAGGTTACAGCCAAGTTAGAAAAATCCCAAATAAGCTGCAGCTAAGACGTATTTACAAACATACACAATTAAGCCCTGCACTCAAACTCCCACTACTCCTGGGCGTCAGCAGTTACTACAGTACGCATCAGCCCCAATACATAAAATAAAAAAACAAAGAAATAAGTTACATGCGCACTATCCCAAATCTCTAAACACATTTACATATGGGAGGTTTTGTAGTATTACTCCAATGGCTTACACCTGTATGGCCATTAGAATAATACTAAGATACATTTGCCTGTATTTTAAAGGCCTGATGAATATTAAAGAATAGACCACAGACATGCTGTGAGCCTACTAAAGGGACAGTCTGATCACCATAAATACTACTTGCTGATGTAGTGGTTATAGTGCTAGCAGGCTACTGAAACTATTTCCCGGATTTGTGTAAAACCATTGTCTTGCAGTTTAACACAAACCAACGGAACCCGAGATGCTCCAGCATCCCACCTGCAGTGTTGCTACTGCTGAACCTACTCTTCTGCGTTAACAATATCAATTTTGTCATTAACTGAGCAGCATTGATTGGATGAGAACATCAGCTGACACACAGTCTACCACTGCCATAGAGTGAGGGGCTGGCCTCAGTCACATTGAGACCCTAGGGTTGTGTCAAAACACCAAAATGGGGACAGTGGCTGCTTGCACCATAACAACTACAACAAGCTGTTGTGGTGATGAGTTAACAAAACGACTTACTAAACATGTATTCTACTCCATACTTCCAGGAGGCAACCCAGGAAAATTTAATATTTTTAATCAAAGTGATAAGTTAGCATGACAAGCGTGCACACCATTGGTACCAAGCTGGTTTTTTAGGGTGAGGGGGTGTTAAATGAGGTCAATCAATTTTGAAGTAGTGTCATTGAAGGCATGCTTGTTATGGTATCAGAGGCTGTCATCCCTCAGTGTATTTGAAAAATAGAAAACAAAAATGCCTAAAAAAGCAATACGATGGGATAAAATGTATTTTTTATTGTCTGCCACTAAGAGGGTTAAATTGTGGTAGCTGTTTCTAGGATCCATTAACATATCTCTAAAATTGCTGATCATTGAGGTTGTCAGTTTTCTAAATGGTTAGAACAGGCCGCTCTGACTTTTACCACACTCAAACAGGCGTCTTTAACAATTCAAAATGATAGGTTTAATCTTTTACAATTCAGAATGATAGGTTTAACACCCCAATTTTAAAGCACAATTTGGACCTGGGACTTTTATTTGTGAATACCTGAAGTGGCCATTCATGGATTTCCCCCCCGAAAAAACCACCATCACCATCATCATTTATTGGTTTACTAAATAAACAGCGACCGATGTATCTTTCTCATTATAAACTAAGCAGGTTTACATATCTGACAAACATATAAAGTATACTCATATAGATATCCATAAAGTGAGTGATCACTGATGCAGACATTAAGGAGATGATAAGGGAAATGAAACGTTTAGCCAAAACTGTTAGATATGCAAACAATAACTTTATTTTCTCAATTACACACCCGTCACAGTTAGGTGACTAATCCTGTCTGTGGCCTCAAAGTATATTCGTATAGATAATGCAATTCCTGCACAGTCTGCAATCAGATTCATACATTTTGTCCAATTACTGCAAATGTATAAAACAATGGTCTAATCATACTATTTTCAATTAATGACATCACTGTTTATTTGAATGGTCAATGACCCACTTACACAACTGATACAATGATTGTGTATTTGCATACTCAGTGATATTACCTTAAATTGATCGATTAATTATATATTCATACACTCAGTGATATTACCTTAAATTGATCGATTAATTATATATTCACACACTCAGTGATATTACCTTAAATTGATCGATTAATTATATATTCCCACTCTCAGTGATATTACCTTAAATTGATCGATTAATTATATATTCACACACTCGGTGATATTACCTTAAATTGATAGATTAATTATATATTCACACACTCAGTGATCATGGCAATATTGCGTGTTTAAACACACAGCTGTAATACACACATTTGAGAAAAAATAAATAGTATTGTATATCTACACAACAGTGATCATTTATGCAATATATACCATGACTGTACATTTATACACTCATAACTACTCAATTTATCTGTGACTTCTGTATTTACACATTTAGAGATCATATTTATTATCTGTACACTTGTTATATTTTTACACTAAAGCTTTTGTTCTCAAATGACCTCATAGTTAAGCAATTGATAAAATAACTGTGTATTTAGTTGTTCTGCAATCTCATTATTAAAGTTTTACACAAATGCTAAAATACATTTACATACAGACTAGCGTGTCTGTTTTGCATGACAGGTACTGATAACTTTTAGTGGTTAAATCATATCCTGTCTTTGAATCGAACAGCAATGAAAGTCTTATTAACCTTTTCAGCATCAGCGGAAAGCAAACACACGCAGAGGACATTTTTCTGGCACTGAGCTTGTTAATATCTGTTTTATAAGGTCATTCTAGTTAATGGAAATAATATACGACTCTTATTATAGACTCAAACACTGCTATAATGCATTATGTAATTCTCAACGTGTTTGAGGAATGGCTGTATTAAATATAGAAAGATACAGAGATTTGATTGGGCATTGCATACCTCTCATGGCTGAGCTTGTCCGTAACACTTTTGTTCACAGTCCTCTAGTCCGTGCAGCATCCAGACTTCTCTATGTGGTCCCAATCATTGGGGGCAGAGTCTCAGCATCTGCAACAACCAATGATAGTTTGAATGGAAAGTTCTAAACTTCAAACTCCCTAAGTAAGCAGTCTTCATCAGTGTTCTACCTAGGTAAACCAGAGAGCCGCCTACAGGAAGGTCCTTGAGTTACACCATCGAACACTGGAGATAGGAAGATGTATGCATAAGGAGGAAGGAACACAGGTGTGTACAAACTTTAAAAAGCAAACAAACAAAAAAGTCTAAACGCGAAAGAAAGCACTCGCATACTAGGGGTAATTGCAGCTGAGGAATGCAGCTGTGCCCAAAATCAGATATAGACCTCATCATTAGCCACAGCCATGAATATACAGAATTAAATCTATACAATCACACAATGTACTTGCATACACTGACATGGAAACATATATAAACTCTATACAAAGACAGCGTGTTACTTATAGGCATGTGGAGCATGTTTCTTGAGGTCGTGTACCCAAAGGCTTTTTTTGTTTTTCTTATTTTTTAGAATAAGGCGATTTATTGAATACTCATCTAGAAAGGACGATTATTTTTATTTATCACAACACTTAAAGGTAACTGATCTTCATACGGTGGCATGTTTTGTCATGTACACAGGTCCAAGGTTCAGATATGTTGTGGCCTGGTACAAGATGAGATTTTGACCTGCGGCTAGGTTGCTGCATTACTGGACATGTTTGCCCTCAGATTGTGCCTGTTGCCTAGTTAATACCCAAGTAGGAATATTGTAAAACCAATCAGCCCTGGTTTATATTGTTAGTGAGATTTCAAACCTTGTAATTTGTTAACCGCATGGTACAGACATACAGGCCTGGCCTGACCACAGCTACACTTTGAAAAGTCTTACAGAGCAGACACACACAGACGGCAAGTGCTGTGAGGTATACCTCTAATAATTCACCATCTCTGTACATAACGCTGCTGGCATCAAGATAGGTCATTAAACAGCAATGCCAAGACAGCGGACTATGCAGACTATTCCTAACAAAGAGCAGATCCTAAGTACAAGGAGTGGTGCAGCGCCTAAGTGTCCTTAAAACAGGGAGAAAAAAAAGGGGGGGGGGCAGAAATAGTTTAGTATGTCACTGTCCAAATAAATAGAATAACACAAAAGAAATTTGTGAGTGTATTTCTTATGTTTTATTCTATTTATTTGGACAGTGACATACTACACTATATATTTTCCCCTTTTTTTTCTTTTTCGCCCCGCTTTTATATTTATATTTTGAAGGACACTTTAGGCACTGCATCACTCCTTGTACTTTCATCTGTTTGTGGATGGGACGAGAGACCTTGGCTCCGGTGATTTAGCTGCTATTTGTACTGTTCCAGTTATTGCTTAGCTCTGAATAACCTTTAGCTTTAAAGAGCAGATCCTGCCATTCACTGCCAAGGGACATCAGGCTCTTCACAGCACTGTGTGGGAGTTAGTGACAATGTGCAATTACAATTGGTCACTCACAAATTCTCAGATGTAAAACAGCCTTGAATAGGATCTTTCCTTCAATATCCACTGTATTTATTCATTCTCACACTCCCATCAGTAGGTTGGCATATGTAGCTCAAGAGAAACATATATATACAAAAAAAGAGATGTAGTGCACTTCCAGAGTATAATAAAAAATAATTTTAATAACTTACATATAGGTATCAAACAATTTGCATGTCACCATAGGGGCGTCCTACTCATTTCGTCCTGCAGTTGGACTTTCTCAGGGACTTGGTGAGACAATGACAGCAATAATATAAAAAACCTTTTCCTCCCACAGTTCTTTTATATCCCCCCTAGAGCTCATTATTAAATGATTCCCAGCCGGTGTTCTATTTCTGCCTGGGCGGCATTTACTGCTTGTTTGAAACAAAGTATCCCTGAGGAAGTCCAACTGCAGGACGAAACGCGTAGGACGCCCCTATGGTGACATGCAAATTGTTTGATACCTATATGTAAGTTATTAAAATTATTTTTTATTATACTCTGGAAGTGCACTACATCACTTTTTTTTTGTATATATATGTTTCTCTTGAGCTACATATGCCAACCTACTGATGGGAGTGTGAGAATGAATAAATACAGTGGATATTGAAGGAAAGATCCTATTCAAGGCTGTTTTACATCTGAGAATTTGTGAGTGACCAATTGTAATTGCACATTGTCACTAACTCCCACACAGTTAAACGCTATGTTTTTTCATTTTATCTGTATTTAGCAGATTATCCCCTATTCTATTTGTATATATTTGTTGAAGACCGGAGGAAGTCTTTGGGGACCCATCTGGGTACTTCACCCAATACAGGGAAGTTCCGGTTTGCTTTAAATTATACACTTTTTCACTGGGGTTGTGTTCACATATCTTGCTATTTTTATTTCTTCACAGCACTACCAACTGAGAGCAGCCCTCCACAGCACTGCCAACTGAGAGCAGCCCTCCACAGCACTGCCAACTGAGAGCAGCCCTCCACAGCACTGCCAACTGAGAGCAGTCCTTCACAGCACTGCCATGTTAGAGCAGCCCTTTACAGCGCTGCTAACTGAGAGCAGTCTTTCACAGCACTGTCATGTTAGAGCAGCCCTTCACAGCGCTGCCAACTGAGAGCAGCCCTTCACAGTGCTGCCAACTGAGAGCAGCCCTTCACCGCACTGCCAACTGAGAGCAGCCCTTCACAGCGCTGCCAACTGAGAGCAGCCCTTCACCGCGCTGCCAACTGAGAGCAGCCCTTCACAGCGCTGCCAACTGAGAGCAGCCCTTCACCGCACTGCCAACTGAGAGCAGCCCTTCACAGCGCTGCCAACTGAGAGCAGCCCTTCACAGCGCTGCCAACTGAGAGCAGCCCTTCACAGCGCTGCCAACTGAGAGCAGCCCTTCACCGCTCTGCCAACTGAGAGCAGCCCTTCACAGCGCTGCCAACTGAGAGCAGCCCTTCACAGCGCTGCCAACTGAGAGCAGCCCTTCACAGCGCTGCCAACTGAGAGCAGCCCTTCACCGCGCTGCCAACTGAGAGCAGCCCTTCACAGCGCTGCCAACTGAGAGCAGCCCTTCACCGCGCTGCCAACTGAGAGCAGCCCTTCACAGCGCTGCCAACTGAGAGCAGCCCTTCACAGCGCTGCCAGCTGAGAGCAGCCCTCCACAGCGCTGCCAGCTGACAGCAGCCCTTCACAGCGCTGCCAACTGAGAGCAGCCCTTCACAGCGCTGCCAACTGAGAGCAGCCAGTCACAGCAGAATTGCCATGTTAGAGGAGCCCTTCACAGCACTGCGAAATGAGAGTCCCTTTAGCCTGCATTGGTAAAGGTAGAGTAGAGAGGAGCTGTTGAACATAATGACGTAGTTAGTGATGGCCTCAGGAACCCCTTGTATATGTGATACATACTTTATCTAGCACACACACCCCTATGATTGATTTGTAATAACTCAGGGACACCCTGAGACATACGTTCCTGGCTTTGTCTCTGTCCTCTATGTTGGCCATGCGGTTAGTCTTGTTAGCTTAGCATTTTTGTATAAGTAGCTCTCTGAGCCACCCTTCTACTCCCCAGGTTCTCCTCCTCTGCAACTGTATGACTAGTGAGTGCGGCTACCTCCTCCCAAAGCACCGCCATGTCCTCTTAAAGCATAGCCCTGATGTCATGCAAGGCCTTTATGTCGGTTTTAGTTGAAGAGCCAGTATCCACTCTTCTAGAAGTCTCCTGTGTGGCTGCAAGTACCAGGGAAAAGGTGTGTGTTGTTGAAGTTGAGTTGTCCTAATCCGAGGAAGCTGAAGAATATGCCTCCATAGTTCCCGTCTTCGCAGCAGCTTGTCCAGTAGCTTCTCTCATAAAAGTCCCAATATCACGGGACCTGGATCCCGGATTAGCCCTCTGCTTCTTCGACTTCTTTCCCATCTGCAGCTGGACCAATGGGGTCCCAAACCAGAGCAGTTGAAGAGTGATTTCTGCAAAAAGATCACTTAAGTCAATAGTACAAAGCGAAGCTCTGACAACGTGTGTCCATTTTGCTAAGGTGCTGGCACTGCTCCCTTCCCATTTTTTGTGTTTTCAGCTTCTCCCTCTGCCAATCTTTCTTCTTTCATTCACAAAGTTTATTTTTTGGTGCCTTTCTATCAAACTCTGCACATGTCCTTGTTCTAAAACTTTGCTTATTTTCTGCTATATCTCTGCCAGCTTCTCTTTACCCCTCTTATCATAACTAGATTTGTTTTATTGTCAGGGAGGCTGTGTGTATAAGGATGTGCTTTGTATGTGTTTGGTTTTGTGAATGAGTCTGGGAGGTTGTGAGTGAGGTTGTCTGTGTGTGTGTGTGTGTGTAACTGTGCTTTGTATGCGTTTGGTTTTGTGAGTGAGTTTGGGAGGTTGTGAGTGAGGTTGTCTGTGTATGTTTGATGCTGTGTGTGTGAGTAAATGTGCTTTGTTTGTGTTTGGAAGACTGTGTTTTCTGTGCATGGGGAGGCTGATCCCTACTAAGTTCAGCATTTAAAAAAAAGATACCTCCGCAACAAAAATGTTTTGTGGGTTTTGTGGGGGTGCTTACCATTTACCCCTTTCCAGCAGTTATGCGTGATGGTCAAGTCAGTAATTCAGGCCAAGCAGAATAGTGCCAAACAAGAGCCAGGGCTGATAAGCATTGTGAAGGAAACCATCAGTGCACACATAGGCGTGTGCAGCCTATTGCATTAGGGTGTGCACCCTAAAGCACAAGCACACGCCACGTATATATATATATATATGTATATATGTATATATCTACACATATATACACACACACATACACTGCTGTGTGTGTGTGTGTGTGCACGCTGTGTGAGGGTGCTGTTAGTGTGATGTGTGTGTGAGGGTGCTGGTAGTGTGCTATGTGGATGAGGGTGTTTGTGTGTGTGTGGGTGCGCTTTTGAGGGTGCTGTTAATGTACTGTGTGTGAGGGTGCTGTTAATGTACTGTGTTGGGGGGTGCTGTTTGTGTGTGAGGGTACTGGTAGTGTGCTGTGTGTGTGTTTGTTAGGGTCCTGTTAGTGTGCTGTTTGTGTTTGTGAGGG